CTTGGCTCAGCTACAGACACCTCCCCTCTCTGCCCGTTGACAAAAAACAACAGCAGCAATAAAAAAAGATGTTCTTGAGCATTCCGGACTCCCAGAAGTGGAGACAAATGAAGGTGGCTGCATCCATGAACTCCCTTGCAATATCTTTACTGCCCCCCCCAGCACTGTCTGTATTCTCCACGTCCCTCTCAGTCTGTTCCCTGGGTTGATACAGAACTTCCTTGCATTGTTCCCGTCTCTCTCAAGCCAACTGATTTCCTCCCCAAACATGGTGGGGAAACAGATGCGGGTCCTGCAAACCATCTGTCTCTCACCAGGGGGCCAAACAGACTCAGGAGGGGGTCAGAGGGCATTTGCTTATTTGCATAGATGCACCTTCATTTTGAGGTTTACACGCAGGGCCGGATTGGGATATGAAAGCAGCCCAGAAGCAAACTGGGCCGAGCAGTCACTGAGGCCTTGGCACAGGCATGCAGCCAGGATTTTGTGGGTTGTGGGGCAAATTTGTTTTCCTGATGGGGCTGAAGTTCTCAGTGCAGAAAGAAGAGCCAGAATTCTGAGGATGATGATTCAGCCACTGTGGAATCAAACCTTTTAAAAGCAAAGCATTGAGGCTTCTGCAAATTTTAGCCCCAGAGTGTGGCAATAGCAGACTGAGAAGGGGTGGTGGAGAATAAGTGTTCTGGTAGATGGTAGGTGTGACAGTAGAAATAAAGGGCTCTACTGGTAGCAGGAGCTCCTTTGCATATTAGGCCACACACCCCTAGTGTAACCAATCCTCCAAGAGCTTACAGAGCTCTTCTTACTGGGGCTACTGTAAGCTCTTGGAGGATTGGCTACACTAGGGGTGTGTGGCCTAATATGCAAAAGAGCTCCTGCTACCAGTAGAGCTCCTGCTACCCTGGGCATGTAAGAAAGTGCCACCACTAGAGCCGAGCACTGGCTCATCCCTTCTCGTCCTCCCTCTCGCAACCTGCCTAAATTCAGAGAATCAGCCTTCCTGTCAGACAGCCATCTACTTAAAAACCTCCCAAGAAGGAGCGCCCACCACCTCCCAAGGAAGCCTGTCCCACCGAGGAACTGCTCTGTCAGGACGTTCTTCCTAATGTTTAGCCGAAAACACTTAGGCAGAAAAGCTCTCTTAGAGGAGACGAGTTTCTTGGCACAGAGTTAGAAGAGATCCTAGAGGTCACCTACTCCAACTTACTCAGTGCAGGAATTAGTCAACCACAGCACCCCACTCGGCTTAAAGGAGTGCACACCTTTTAAAAAATGTTTTTAAATGATTGAAAAAAGCATTTACCGGAGAAATTCTTGTGGGGCTTGAAGAAGAAGAAGAAGAGGAGGAGGAGGAGGAGGAGGAGATTGGATTTATACCCCGCCCTTCACTTGGAGTCTCAGAGTGGCTTATAAACTCCTTTCCCTTCCCCTCCACACAATACACCCCTGTGAGGTAGGTGGGGCTGAGAGAGCTCTGAGAGAGCTCTGAGTGAAGTGTCCTTGAGAGAACAGCTCTGACAAAACTATGGCTTGCCCAAGGTCATCCAGCAGCTGCAAGTGGAGGATTGGGGACTCAAACCCGGTTCTCCCAGATTAGAGTCCACACACTTAACCACTACACCAACCTGGCGGAGGAGAATGGAAGCGGAACACCCAAAAGCCCCACTGTAGCTATGGGCTTCCTTTGGCAGTTCCACAGCAACCATTCGCTTCAGACCTGGCCAGCAGCATTGACAACGGACATCTGAGCTGAGCCATCCCTGCAGCCCCTACCAGTGTTCCTGGCCTCAGCTCACTGGGACCTTTCCCGGTCAGTAAGAAGGCCAGTCCACTCCTGCGGAAATGAGTGCAGCTATAAAACTGCTGAGCAGCAATGCTGAACTAAAATGGTGTGGGTGGGTGTGGTCAGTGCGATTCTCTTACACAAACAGCCTTCTCTTTTAAGCTTTGGTCCTACGGTTGATGGGCAGCAATGAGCAAACTGGTTGTGACAAGAAATCCTCCGCCCTCCCCTTCATCTGGAATATACCTTGAAGCATTCACTCCTGAGGGGTGGGGTGGTGATGGCTGAAAATTCAATACGTCTGGTCAAGCAGACGGCAAAAGGAACTGCAGCAAGTTTTGGATTCAGCCCGGAGCTGGATGAAAAACTGAATGTCCTGGGCTGCTCTTGCTGTAGTGCTAGCGCAGCTGGCCTATGTGCTTGCTCTCTGCATCCTATAATTACTGATTTTTTTTTAAAAAGGTACAGATTACTGCAAAGTGACCACAAGTCTCCAGGATTCTTCCTGCCAAGGGAAAACAACCACATAAAGGTCCCTCTGAATGCTATGGAAAGGGGAGCCCAACAACACAGTTTGCTCCTTTTAGAGAGCCAGTTTGGTGTAGAGAGCCAGTTTGGTGGTTAAGTGCGCGGACTCTAATCTGGGAGAACCGGGTTTCATTCCCCACTCCTCCACTTGCACCTGGCTGGATGACCTTGGGCAAGCCCTAGTTCTGATAAGAGCTGTCCTCGAAAAAAGAGCAGTTTCTGTCAAGAGCTCTCTCAGCCCCACCTACCACACAGGGTGTCTGTTGTGGGGAGGGGAAGGGAAAGGAGTTTGTAAGCCGCTCTGCGACACCTTTGGGTAGTGAAGGGCGGGGTATAAATCCAGTATCCCTAAGGGACAAAAATTTAGGACTTCTTTTTTTTTGGCAGGGACTTTAGAGCAATGTTTAGTTATAGACGTACACAAGAGAAAGCACCCAGGACAGCCAGTGTTTTGTCCCAAGGCAGGTCCCCTCCTGGTTCAAAAATTCCAGAAATCCTCCTGTTCCTTTGGCCCATCCTAAATTCTAGCATGTCACAACCGCCAGATTCACACTTCCTAGTCAGCAAGTGGCAAGGCTCCTGTGCCTCTAACAGATGCACGACAGGCAGAAAGTCAACAGATACAGATTTCCCGAGTGATACATCTCCAGAGTAGGAAAGACCAGGGATCATTTCCTGCAGGAGCGCACAGGAGTGGAGCTCCGGTGGTAAAGAGCCCAGGGGGCGGGAACATACAACTAGCCCCACCCCCTGCTCCCAGCAGCCCTCAGTCAGAGCAAGAAGCAGCCAGATAAGTTGCAGAGGGGGCCCCCCGGTCCAAAACAATCCAGTGGCACCTTTAAGACCAAGTTTTATTCAGGTACAAGCTCTCCCTCCTCTGAGAGGACAGATCTGCCCGCCCCCCCCCCGTAGCAATCCTAAACAGTCCAGTGGAGCCTGAGAGGTGGGTGTTGCCTTCTGACACACTTCCAGTGATGGCAGGGGGTGTGGCACATGCAAATAAGTTATGCTAATGAGTTATGCTAATGAGCTCCTGCACTTCTTTTTCTACGAAATGACCCCTGGGAAAGACGCTGCCTGTAGTCTTACTGCCGGCTGTTCAAGGCACAGGAACCGTATGAGAGACAAAAAAGGTGGCAGATCAGCTTGAATGGTTTCAGATAAAACATTATGCATTTTATCATACTGAATGGGATACTCCAGTTGAAGGGCCCAGTGGGAACGGTCACTTGGTCAGATAGAATTGCCCATCTCCCGGTGGGATGGTTGGTGGCTCAGGGGCAGGGGACCTGCTTTGCGTGCAGAAGCTCCTAGGTTCCATCCCCAACGTTTTCCGTTCAAGATAGCAGGTGATGTGAAAGACCTCAGCCTGGGATCCCAGAGAGCTGCTACCAGTCAGAGTAGAAAATGTGGACCTTGATAGACAAAAAGTCTTTTCAGGATAAGGCAGCTTCATGTATCCATGCAGCTTTCAGGGCTAAAGAGAAGGGCCATTCCACCCCACTACAGGTATTAGAGGCCACGGTTCAGGGGCAGAACACTGCCTTGGAATACCAGGGGGTCCCAGGTTCAGTCCTGGCCTTTCCACTGAACGGATGTTGGGTATTGAGGAAGGGAAAGACCTTCCTTCCAAGATCCTGGAGAACAGGTAACAATCAGAGGATACGATGCTGTAGATCAAAGGTTCTGCTTGGTATAATGCAGCTGCCAATGAAATCTCACCTTTTAAGGGAGAAGGGCTCAGCAAGTATTACATAGGATTTGTATGTAGGAAATCCTAAAGTCTGCCCTGTCATCTCCACCTAAAAAACCTAAGGTAGGCCCTGACTTGGATAGCCCAGGCAAGCCCGATTTTGTCAGATCTCAGAAGGTAAGCAGGGCCGACCCTGGCAAGTACTTGGATGGGAGACCTCCAAGGAATACCAGAGCCGGGAGGCAGAGGCAGGCAATAGCAAGCCGCTTCTCTGAAACATCCTCCATGCCCCAGTAGGAGTTGCCAGAGGTCACCGTGACTTCCAGGCATGGGCACACACACGCACACACACAAAAAAATGCAAAAATACAAAAAAAAATATCTCAGGTAGCAGGGACTGGGGAAGGCTCTTCATAGGGATGCCAACCTCCAGGTGGGACCTGTGGACCCCCTGGAATGGCAGCTCATCTCCAGATTACGAAGGTCAGTTCCCCTGGGGAAAATGGATGCTTTGGAGGGTGGACTCTGTGGCATTGTCCCCCACTGAGGTCCCTGTCCTCCCCAGGCTCCACCCCCAAATCTCCAGGAGTTTCCCCACCTGGATCTAGCAACCCTACCCCCCACCCCAATCCCCTGCCAGGGGTCGAGGAGGACATGGCAGCCCTGCATCCTTCTCTGAGACCCTGGAGAGCCTTTGCAAGCCAGAGTAGACAATACCAAGCTAGATGGAGGACCAATGGTCTGACTCGGTGCAAAGCAGCTTCACGGGTGCTGCAGATACCCCTGGCTATTGCAGTAGTAACCAACTTAATCGTTCTCACTGATGTTCAGAGGCATGGTGCATCCTTTGGGACCTGCTCACAATCTTATGTAACTTTTGCTCACATACAAACTGTTCTTTGCATTCATAATCAGGAGGGGGAAAGGTGATGCATTTTTAGAGAATTCGGCTGGAAAGAGGGGAAGGAAGCATTAGATATGATAAAGTGGAGATACTTGGGAGGGGCCAGGGTCTGTTCCAGGAAGTCCTCAATCTTCAGGAAGTCGGTTTTCAGCTCCTTGTTGAACACCAAGAATGGAGGTTTTATCCCAGGAGCCAGGTTCTTCAGCTCTTCTGGTTTCCTAAACAGTGGTGGAAGTAAGAAAGAAAGAAAGAAGAAAAACTACCTTTGGATTGGCCTTGCAGCCCCTTCCCACACCTTCAGTGATGGTTTCTTAACCCCATCCTCTCCTATCTGAGGAACTGCTACAAAGCCACTTGACTGTGCCAAGTTCTTTCCCCCCCTTACCATTTTTGAGTTAGGGCTTTTAAGTCTAGAAAAAGAAGTTGACCGTGAAATAGGGTACAGAGGTGTTTATAAAATGACAAATGGCGTGGAGAAAATGGAGTTTTGTCCTATAATACCAGAACTCAGGCAAAAGGAAGCCGTGCTCCACAAAATGCACCATTCGCTTACGGACTTTGGCTGCCGTGGTGAGTAGGGTTGCCAAGTCTGGTTTGGAAAATACCTGGAGACTTTGGGGGTGGAGCCAGGAGAGGGCGGGGCTTGGGGAGGGGAGGGGCCTCAGCACAGTACAATGCCATTGAGTTCACCCTCCAAAGCAGCCATTTTCTCCAGGGGAGCTGATCTCTTTCGGCTGGGGATCAGTTGTAAAAGTGGGAGATCCCCAGGCCCCACCTGGAGGCTGGCAACCCTAGTGGTGAGTGACAGCCACTGGCCTGGAAGGCTTCAAAAAGGGGGTTAGACAAAGTCATGGCAGATGCGTCTACAGAATGATTGGCTGCTTAGCTATTAAGTAAAAAGATGGCTCAATGAAACCTCCATGTTCAGAGACAGTGTACCCCTGAATACCAGTTGCTGGAGGGCAGAGGGGAGGCTTTGGGCTGCAGGGCCTAGTGGTAGGCCTTCAGGTGGCATCTGGCTGCTGGCCCCTGTACAAAACAGGAGGCTGGGCTAGACAGGCCCTTGGTGTGATCAAGCAGGGGTGTCTGATCCAGGAAAGGTTCTCCAGGACACACTGCAGGGGTCCAGTGGAAGATCTGAAGCTTTTAAACAACAACAACAACAACACCCATCTAGTTCTCTTGGATCCTACGACTTCCTTCCACTAACCTGGATCTTACAGCATCCTTCTCAGGGGTAATTTTTTGGGGGGGACGCGGGGGGACGCCATCCCCCCGGGTGAGGTGCGGGAGGGCGGGGCCTGGGGCAGGGGTCCAGTGGAAGATCTGAGGCTTTTTTTTAAAAAAAAACAACAACATCACCACCCAAGGTCTAATTCTCTTGGATCCTACAACTTCCTTCCACCAACCTGGATCCTATAGCATCCTTCTACTAAGAATTCCTTCGACAGAGAAAGACTTCCTCCAATGGAGAACCAATTTTTTTTTCTGATGGAGAAAAGTCTTTTTTGTTGAAGGAATTATTTCTGTGTTGGAGGAAGACTTGGTGGAAAGGCGTCGCGGGATCCAGCCCCCACTGCTCTGATAAGGCACTCTGACGATCCTTTGCAGCTCCGAGGTTATAGTGCTACTGCCCTTCGACCCGTCAGCTTTATACTGACAATCTGTTCCTAACTGTACCTTCTTTCTCCACTCTTCCAAAACAATGTTTAACATAAAGTAAAATTACTTAATCCAGATTCTTTCACGTCCCAGAAGCAACTTTCACAGCCCACACTGAACAGAGCTGTAGTCTTGTCCTGGGCAGAAACCCAGATTTCAAAGCACAAAGGTCCGCAATCCACCTCCTTCCTCTTACCTTGTAATGTCAACTGTTGTCACGTTGAATCGGACACCTTTGAGCCACAGAACCATGAAAAGGCTCTGGCAGAAGGGGCAGTTTCCAATGTTTTCCCCATCTAAGCCAGCCTGCAGGGTGAGCAAAACAGGATGATCAGCCTTTCCTGCACGGCTTTTTCTACAAAAAGAGCCCTGAAAAGGTCCGCAATCCACCTCCTTCCTCTTACCTTGTAATGTCAACTGTTGTCACGTTGAATCGGACACCTTTGAGCCACAGAACCATGAAAAGGCTCTGGCAGAAGGGGCAGTTTCCAATGTTTTCCCCATCTAAGCCGGCCTGCAGGGTGAGCAAAACAGGATGATCAGCCTTTGAAAATCCGTGAGCATTTCATGTTTCGATGACACCACATTATTGGCAGGAAACAGTGAAGATTTGAAACGGCCACTAATGAAGGTCAACGGCCACTGATGAAGGTCAAAGCAGAAAGTGCCAAAGCAGGATTACAGCTGAACATCAAGAAGTCAAAAGTAACGACTACTGGGGGATTACACAACTTTAAGGCTGATGATGAAGAAACTGAAATGGTTCAAGATTTTAGATTCCTTGGCTCTGTCATCAACCGAAAGGGAGACAGCACCCAAGAAACCAGGAGATTGAAACTGGGAAGGGGAGCCATGAAGGAGCAAGAAAAGATCTTTAAGAGCAAGGCGACCAAGTTCAAGTTAATTCATGCCCCTTTACTACCAATGCTCCCTCTAACCCGCGGAGTCTTGTGGGCAAAAATCCTACTTTGTGAGCTGCTGGCATGAAAGTTGCAAGCCAGCGATTTGGCTGCTGCATAAATGAGTTTGCTCTGGAGCCCTCCTTCCCGAGCGGAGACAAAAATGTGTGAGCCGGAGGCTAAAAAACTGAGCTGGCTCACCCTAACTCAGCTTAGAGGGAACACTGACTACTACGTATGGGTGTGAAAGCTGGAAAATGAAGAGAGCTGACAGGAAGAAAGCCGATGCCTTTGAAAGGTGGTGTCGGAGGAGGGTTTTATGGATACCGTGGACTGCCAAAAAGACAAATAAGTGGGTTCTTGACCAAGTCAACCCTGAACTCTCCCTAGAAGCTACAATGACCAAACTGAGGCTATCATTGTTTGGTCACATGAGAAGACTCACTGGAAAAGATAATAATGCTAGGAAAAGCTGAAGGCAGGAGGAAAAGAGGACGGTCCAACATGAGATGGCCTGATTCCATCAAAGAAGCCAGGGCCCTCAGTTTGCAAGACCTGAGAATGGCTGTTAAGAATAGGACATTTTGGAGGACAATTCATAGGGTCAGAAATGACTTGACAGTACTTAACACACACACACACACACACACATGACAACTCAGTGCAAACATATAATTTGAAAGGTGATGCAGAAACAGCTCCCAGAGAATCTTATTTCTACGAAATGACCCCTGAGTATTCAAAGAATTTCCAACATTAATGTTAAAAAAGCAAAGTTTTGAAGTCTTTAAGGTTCTGAAGAATCATCCTGGGGAAAAAAATCTCCTCATGCATTTCTTTTAAAGCATGTTTTGGACAGTGCTGAAAATAACTTACAACATAGGCAACACTGCCCTCTGGGCATTTTTGCCGTTCAACCCCCCCCCCCATTGCTTCCTAAAAAGCAACAATCAACGCTAATCAGAAAACTGGTGTGAGAGGTTTTATGCACAAGCTGGCGCGGGACTGCTCAAGAAACTTTGCCACAAATACTCCAGCAGCTGATATTACATACAAGTCCCCAACTTCTCCTCCTGACAATGATTAAGAGAAAACTAATAATACTAATTTTAAAAGGTTCAAAGCACTTAATACCTATTTTTATCTCAGTAATACAATAGCCCTATAAGACAGGCCACTATCACGCTCCCATAGTGCAGCTAGCGTAGCCAACATTTGAATGAGACTTGAACCAGCTGTGCTTTTAAAGCCCTGACCTGGATTACACAGGCTAGCCCGGTCGTGTCAGATCTTGGAAGTTAAGCAGGGTCAGCCTTGGCTAGTATTGGAAGGGTGACCTCCAAGGAATACCAGGGTTATGACGCAGAGGCAGGCAATGGCAAGCCACCTCTGAAACGTCTCTTCCCTTAAAAACAAGTCTAGCTCGCCACCTAGTGGTGCATAATGCTAAAAAGAGCTAGCACTTCTGCCACACAATGCCATACGATTATTATTATTATTATTGTGCCTTTGAAAGCCATTTGATCTGCAGCAGTTTACATATATCCAATTTTCTCCTCAGTTGGCTTACAGCATCATTTCCCCCTCTGCTTTATTCTCCAACAACCCTGTAAAGTAGGTTACCCTGACAGAGAGAGAGGTCACCCAGTAAGTTTCCATGGCTGGGGATTCAAACCTGGGTCTCCAAGATTCTAGTCCAACACTCTAGTAACTACACTATGAATGTATTGGTTTGGACCATAAATTCATAAAAGAATCATAGGCCCCGTTCATATGAGGGGTTTTGGTCCGGGAGCGAGACAGAACGGGGGCGGATCAAACGGGCGCGATCCCACGGCAACATCTGGGAATCGTTGCCTGCCCGTCCCCGATCTGTCTCTTCCGCACGAAAACCCGCACTAAAAAGAAACACCTACCTGGGTGGTTCTTGCGAAGTAGAGCGGCTCAAACCGGCCGTGGGATCGGCCGCGCATCCTTGCGGCGGCACATTCCGGCCTCCGGCCGAACTGCGCATGCTTGAGCATGCAGAGTTCGGCGGCCTCCCCCTTGTCTCCGACTCTTCCTCCCCGGCATGTGATCGTGCCGGGGAGCAACGGCGCGCAGTGCACGGGATCCGTGGGATCCCGCCCGCGCGTATCT